ACCCCAAAACCCCAAAACCCCAAAACCCCTTTCTAGGGTTCATTATTGAAACATTTAGCAAAAAGGTTAGAATATTGTTCAGCATGAGGTTTGATTTCTCTTTTTCCCTTTTCCGTCTGAAGGTATTAGCTTTTTATTCGGCTTAGAATTATCAATTAGGTCTTCCTCTCTGATGTTTTCAAAATCTAAGTCTACATTCTGAAGATCATCCTCAATTTTAGATGTGTCCCATTCCCACTCGATCAGATGATATTCTATATCTCTACCCTTTGGATTGAGGATAAGCATTGAGGAGCAAAGCGGGTCAATATCAAAGTATTGAAATTCTTCCTTGATTTCTTTGAGAAGTTCAAAATTTTTAGTATTATCATGATATTTCCAGAACTCTATGACAGAGTCTTCGTAGCCAATGACCAAATGCTTTCTATCAAGACTAGTCCTCATGCATACTACAAAAGACTGATGAGTTTCCAACTCATAAGGGTCTTTGTTAGGATCCATTAGAGGTCAAATATAGACAGAAGGCTCTTGAGTAGCAACTCAAGCGTAATCCTCATCTATGGTTGAGATGAATGTGGCTGCTTTACCTCTGCCAACCTTCATAATGCCAACTTCATTCTTTTCCTTAAAATCATAGATTCTCAGATAACCATCCTTGCTGCCAATGAAGAAAGTGGAATTATCAACTGAGAAATCAACGGAGGTGACTTCTATTTTATCTCTTCAGTGCCAATGCTCAGATAGTTTCTCTTTATAAACCTTGAAACCATTTTGGTCTTGAAAAATCCCCACGAAGTATACATTTTTGTTGACTCTGCTTCTTGGTGCATAGAACCGCTCTATTGGGTCTTCTATGGGAAGACTAGTGATTAGCTCAGCATTATCCTGCTCGAAATGCCATAACTTTACTATTGATGAATCTCAAGTTAGGATCCTGGTGTCGTTGTCAAAGATCTGCATTGTTCTGTAAGCAGAAGCTTTGAAGGAGAAAATCAACTGCTTAGTTGATATATCATACTTGTGGATTACACCATCAATAGATAACAGCAGGTAGTTATTATCCGGATTTGTAGGTAGTGCAATGTTCCTAATCTTATGCAAGTCATTTGAGAATTTGATCTCATTGAAAATCATTGTGCGATGAGTTTTTATTATGTCAACGCGCTCACATAAGTCATCATCCTCTATTAGAGTCTTATAAAGAGTCAGGAAAGCATTGTTATAAGAGAGCAAAGGAGGATTATCAAAGCATTTGTGCATCATTTTCCTGATCCTTATCAAAAATTTCTTAGATTTGTTCTTTCTGTATAATTTCAGAAGAGACATAATCTTGCCGCACAATCTGTCTTTTTCTTTCACAATTCTTCCAGGATTTCTGTTATGATCTTTAGAGAAGTATATTGGCTTTATGAAGGAACCTATTTCTTCAGGAATGGATAATGAATACAATCCCAAACTTGTACCCTTTGAGTAAATAAGGAAGGAGCATTCAGGATCTACAGTAAAAGCTTGGTTTGAAGTTTTTGGCTTATTAAATTTTCTCTTAATTCTCTCATTGAAAATATCATAAACAAGAAAATGTTCTCCATCTCCATGATTTTTATCAAGAACAACAATAGATTCGAAATCACTTTGAGGGAAACAAATCTTGTTGCCATGAGATTGTTGTCTTTTAATAAACTCTGAAAAAGTATCATGGTGTTGGACATAGGTAAGGCCAAACCTAAAAATACTTTTATCTTCGAAGCTCTCTGCTTTCCTGACTTCTGATTTGCCTGTTTCCATATCATAATCAGCAAATTTTGTTTCACTCTTGTCTTTTTGGATTCATCTCAAAGTTTTGCATTCATTCATGAAGTACATTTCAGTGATACAAACTGAGTCTTCAGCTGCAAGGGACTCTAACGGTTCTCTATTGAGCTCTTTAGGGAGCATGAATGATGCTTTTTCTTCATAAGTACCTTCCTCAATGTCAAGTGTGAAGTATGAAATCTTATCATCAAACTGCTTGTATGAAAACATATTGGCACCTTTAGAGTCAATACAGGACATCACATTGAAGCCTTTGCTTTCTTCTATTTCTACTTTCATAATCTTCTTTGGTGATTGGTTTATAGCCCAGACAATTACTTCATCCTTGGAAGATGTGACCATGAATTTAGATAATGAGCTGATACTGATATCCATAATTGGGTTGTCATGATCAGTGGGAATAGTTCTATTTTGGAAGTATCTTGCCTTTTCAAGTTGAATCCTGTGGAATAGAGGAATCACTTGAGACTTTATTCCATAGGTAGTAAGCTCTTCATCTTTTTGAGTCTCTCTACCACCAAGCATGGAGTCTTGTTCTTCTTTGGTCTCTTCTTTTCCTGCTTGGGCTTTCATTCCTTGGAAAACCTTTTTGAGGATAGCTAGTCCATCACTTTTCTCGCCTACAGCTATCATAAATAATGCCTTGAGCATAAGACTAGAGTCTTTCTCGTTGATAGCATCAACTTTTTCAATAAGCTCTATTACGTCCTGGTCTGAGATTTGTGCGCTCTTCCATCTGTGAAAAAGCAGGTTGATGACTGAGTCCTGGTGAGATTTCTTCATTCCTAGTGCTTCATTCCAGTATTCCACAGCTCGTTTGTCATTTCCCTTGAAATTAGTGAAGACCGCTCTTTTGTTTAGGATATCAGGATTGTCAGTAGTGAAAATGTGCTCTAGCTTGTAGAAAGATTTCTTAAAGGACTTTTTGTATTCTGATATTAATATCCGTTTTATAGTTGATAACTTCCCCTTTCTTTGAGAAATAGAGTCTATGTTGAGGCATTCAACAAGGACTTGAATCAGCGGGGTGCTTTCTGGTAGTTCAGCCCATGTAAGAGGGAGTGAGTCTATCGTAATTGAGTATTGGTTCTCACTAACCCTTCCGATCATCATTTCCAGCAGGCAGATACCGAGGGAGTAGATATCCTTGAGCATTAGTAGTTCCTTCTTTTCTCTCATACTAACATTTTTCTTATTTTTGCCAAAAGGCCACTGGTTTGCCTCAACATTGAGAGGTGAAGTTATAATGCTTCCATGCTTGAGGTTGTTTAATTTAAAAATTGGATTCTCTTCGTCCCTGACCATAAGAACATTTGATAAGTTCAAATTACCATGAATAATGTTATTATCATGTGCAAATTCAAGTCCTATAGCTATTTGGATAACTCAGTCATAAATTAGCTCTAGATAATTCCGAGGAACGCTTAGTGCAAGATTCAAGCTCATGCTTTCTATGTATCGATACATATCAATGGAGGTAATTCCAGAAAACTCTGTGAGTTGGAACTTGTTATTTATCATGCATGAATTCATCGTAAGCTGTAACTATGTTGGTATGCGAGGGAAGCCCGATCCACTGTGATATGTTCTCTTCTTCTGGGATGCACTTAATTACTAATTCTTCTTTCAGTTCTTCGTGGTCGACTACAAAGCATTTATCTGTCAGCAATCCTTTGACAGAGAGAATGTTATTTCATAATAGGGTGTTAATCTCTAAGATTGGTTTTACAGCAATATCTAACCCAGACATTGAGATTATCTCGCTGTGGCCAGAGACGCTTTTCAGAGACTTCATTTTCCCTCTCTGCGAAGTCGATTTACTGTATACTGACGAATACATTTTATTTAAGATAATAATTTGAATTAATAATTTAGAAATTGGGGTTTTGGGGTTTTGGGGTTTTGGGGTTTTGGGG